ATATATATATATATATATATATATATATATATATATATATATATATATATATATATATATATTGTTTTCTTGCAGAAAAAGATTTCAATACACTTTGGATAAAATACAGAAAAGCATTTTTTGAAGGAAAAAAGTACATGATTACACTGAACCACTTCCTCTTAGCGTTAGTACAACTAGAAGGTCTGACCTGTATTTTAGGCTCAATTTAGCGTACTACGCTATTGTAGTTTCTGTCACAGGAGCATGTGTTATAATGGACTTAGACTTTTTTGTGCGGGAGCTCTTAAAGCTGTCGCTCCCTTTCAGTCAGTGTTCAGGTGCTTATTATGTGGATAAAAATGTAATGTAATAAACAGTAATGCTAATGGCTTCTGAGAAACGCTCCTAGGTTGTCGAAGCTATCACAAGGACGGAGAATTTACTACATACACGAATGAAAAAAACCTGGGTAGCAAACCCGTTCTTTGCCTATGCGTGTTTTCTTGCTAGCCACTTACTACAGTGTCAACACTACAGATTATCGAAGGCATTGCGAGAAACAAAAAGAAAAAAAGTATACATATGTGTATATAACACAAAATCGACAAACAACAACTTTAAACTTTTCTTCGTAAAATCTCTTCTAATGCTTATATCGTAACTTAAAAGATAACTCTTTCACATCCAATCTGCTCTTAGCTGGAATAGTTTCTAGCATTTTTCTAAGCGTCCTAAGCTATTTTTTGCCTCCTGCTCTTTCTTGCTTCTGCTCCTGTTCTTCTAAACGTAGCTGTTTGCGATTAACTGTGATTAGGTCTCTGTCTGTCGACAAACCTGTCTGGTTACCTAGAAAGAAAAGACACGAAGGCGTTTGCGGAATTTGTTCGTCATATCATTTTATTATTTGCTGATCTTCCGTTCTTTTTTTGCCCGTCATACCTTTCTCGCGTTCTTTTTCTCAGTTTCTTTTACCCTTAACTTCCTTTCTCTCGCTTTCATAATCCGATAATGATGTTTATTTTTTGCAATACACTTTTTTTTTTAACATTTCCGTCATTATCACCGTCATTATTAGTAAGCCTTGGATGTTTTACCGTGTACTACTCCTTCTAATATAGTTGTTGCTCTCGGCATTTTTTGTTATTGTTGCCTCTTGCGCAAACTGTGTTTCGACATGAAATGTTATCACACATACGATACTCTAGTGCCTAGGTTGGTGAAAAAAGATATATGTACGTGTGTGTATCTCAACCCCGCCGGTGCGTGTCAAGCTTCCAGTGTGTAACGATCATCATTATCATATTCAAAGTAATTGTAATTTTTTTCGCGTAACATTTTTTAGGTTATCGTAATCTGTATCATTTTTTGCTTTTGTGACGCTCGCACTCGTGTCTTTATCGACCACGCAACTCTGCTATCTGCAATGTTCCGTGTACTCATTTAATGTATAGTTATTAATTATCCAGGATGTGTATAATATGTGCTTATATATAATATATGGATTATCATTGGCGTATCTGATCCAAATATTGCTTCTCCGTATGTTCCGCTTCTAACGCTATCTAACTAGATTCCGACAAGAATTATGAAAATACGATAAAATTGTACTAGCCCATTTTTTCTGTTCTGCAGAGGGACCAAAACAACCGAGACAGCTTCGTTTGCAAAAACAAAATCTCCTAATTACATTTTAGTTTCCACATTACTGGCCACGGATGGTATGGTCATGCTCATATTGTTACGTGTCGTTTCAAGATAGGGTCAAAACTCTTCAAACTACCAAACTGCTCCTTGCAGCGGTACCAAGCAAGAGCATGTATGTATACGTTGGTCGTAAACGTATCGATGTCTATAAACATGTGTGTGTTTACTGGGTCGAGCTCGTCCCAAGCAAAATACAAATAAGGTAAGATTACGGTTCCATTTGGTGGCCTCCATGACGCAAAAGCCCCATCACAACTCCTCCACGCGTAACCTTATCATATCATTGAAGTTCTCGATCGGCTTTACGTACGCAAATCACCAAACAGTTTCGGCCAAACTTAGTCGATGCTACCGCACACGAAATTGCAGAACATTGGCGTGGTAAAGTAGACATATTGATTTCGATACTCGAGCTAGCTGGTCCGACCATTTCGAAACGTACGCTCCCTTTTCTAATTTATAGATCTGTCGCTACGTAATTATATCTCGGCTTTCAGTCTTTCGTTCGATACTAGGGTATATTTGTGTTTTATATAGTCGGCTTGCCGAATATCGTTTCCCTTTCTATGATCGAAAGACCGCTTCCTTCGCTCCATAACGCCTGTAAAAGTGGCACTGCTCCTTCGAAGTATGCCATTTTCCAGCAGCGTACGAAGCGCCACCTGTCTTGTTAGCGCGACAACGATTCAAGATCTCCGAGATGTGATATTGTGTTGCAGCATGTAGAACTGTCGAAAACCATTTTTTCTAATCTACTTATGAAAGTGCTTGATAATAGTTATCATTGTATTATGAGCACGATAGAAGGAATACAAGGAGGAAAAATAACGCAAGGTAACAAAGCACAACTTCCGGAGTGCACTCATCTGTTTGCCACAAATCAGCGGCTTTTCTGATAACAACTTCTCTGTCTTCATCGATTTTCGCTCGCGAAAGCACTATTCTGTTTCGGGCTTACCCGAACCAATTTCTTATCGTGACCCTCGGTAACGTCTCGTCCTATAAATTTAGTTAGTAATCATACTGTATAGCAACCGTCACCACTCGATCATTGATACATGACATAATCTGCAATATATCCTTCTTCGACTCAAGGCCGTCGGCCATAAAAATATTTCCGAAATGACTAGATTGTTTTTTCCTCATATCAATCTTCTCTAATACATAGTGTTCTGCCTATATAGAGACCTCTATATATATATGCAAGCGCTGTTGTTTGTGACTCGACTACTTTCGAAGTTAATTTTCTTTAGCTGCATAACTATGAGGATCACCATTATACTTTTTACTAATTTCTGTTAGTTTCTTTTTACAATCTGAGATACATTTGAAGTCGTTTCTGCTCTGGCTCTTCTTGCTATTACTCAGTAAGTAGAGACTGTTATCGTGTCGCTGGGCTTACCCTCGCCACCCACTCAGCCACCCATCCACCCACTCATTCACGTCATTCATCGCTTTGCGTTCGGCATTCACTATGTTTTGTTCTTGCTGATACTCGTGCTAGAACGGGGGCGTCCCTATTTTTTTTTTCTAGTGTCTGCAACCTCTTCATGCTGTAATAATTAATAGCGATGTTGCTTCTTTATATATATTCATCCTGTAATGCTTGATTTTATCGCTTCCTCTTTCGTCGTGTTTACGACAAATGTTGGGTAGCTTTGTCTGCATGAAGGGGAAACTTATATCTAGTGCCGTCAATACAACCAGCGTGACGGTGCTTTAAAATTTTCGTTGATGCTGTGCTATCAGTTGATATTCCTAATCGCCCTACGCTTGCCTCAACACAATATTGAAAAGATCATGTATATATATATGTGTGTGTGTGTGTGTGTGTGTGCATATACATGTAAACACTAGCGCTCGACTTTAACGTTTCGCCATTTTCGATGACATACCTAACATTAGGTGTAGATGCATTACCATTGGATTTCTAGAAGTTGGTATTTACAGAAGTATTTATGTGTATTGTAGATTATCACTTAAATTTCGCCAGTGGTTATAAAATTTTGTGCCGGGTAGGCTTAGATATGCCGAGGGTATCGAAATCCCTGAAAGAATACCACCACCGAGATACGAGCCACTGGTAAAATGCCGTCCACGTTCGCACCATTGTCATCCTAACACCCTTCGAAATAGGAAAGATTTTGATTTATTTTGAACGACGATGTAGAGGGCGCGCATTTACTTGACAGGCAATTGTGTCCTTAACTGTTCATGCTGAAAGTAACATATCCTAGCATTATGCATGCTATTATAAGCCATAGACGCACGCATGCCTTATTGCTAGGTAGCATAAACGAACTTGGCAAAAAATCCGTGAGCACAGACTGCATACGCCCGTTGGTAGAGTTTCTCACGATCCACTCTACAGTCGGTGAGCAAGGTTTAGGCGCGATCGCTTTCCGAAAACAATACACGTTTAAGTAGATTTCCAACACAGGGCGGATTTCTGCGTAGATCGTACGTTATCGAGTCGGCTTACGTATAATACGTGTAGTAATAGCCTGTCGACAGACTCCTATGGTTCGCCCTCAATGGTTTACCATCAAACCTTATGGACAAATATTATTTAGAAGCTGGCGTGGGTACATCCGGACAGGCCTAAATGGCCGACTCAACGGCCATTTCCTCTTAATTCATCTCTAGTTTCTCACATGCTTACCTTCGTTCTCCCCGAGATTACAGCCTCACGTAATTACGGCATTGCTGCTTTCAAACGCACACTGCATTTGGGCTATAAGTAAATAAGCCATTGATACGAAAAACACAGTGACAGCAGTTACAATGTACGCGAGATCTTGCATTTTTCTTCGTTCGTTTCGCCTGCTGTTGCTATCGCTGAACTGAGCGTTACAAAGCGCTGCGCTTCGTTTGTTACTTGACAGACTTCGGCAGGAAATGGCGAAGGCACGCCGACGTCCAACCGTTGTTAGCATCTGCCAACAATTGCTAGAAGCTACGAAAAGATGGACGAAGGAACTCGCATTGCTCATCAATATTCTCCACTATTCTACGTTCTTCCCAGCGCCACACCCTAACAACCAGGCAAACCTCGGCGCCCAGCAACCAATCCATTGAAGACAGGAAAATATCGATTTGTGGCGTCATCTAGCCAATGTCGGCACCTCCCCATCTACCCGGCGTGATCTTCCTTACTCTCAAAACGCTTAACTCTCAGTAGCGTCGGGAACTCGAGCAGCAACGATCGCAGCGCTTCTCATAACGCCAGAAATGGCAGAAGCTATTCACATTCAAATTTCTATATTAGATTTTTCGGTCCGCTTTTGCAAGCGTCTCTCTAGAGCTGGTACTAACGCCATCGTTACTGCTCGTACGGCCTCAACATTGGCGAATTCTGGCAAAAATCATTGCGGCTGCTGGTGCTGCCATTACTGCCGTCTCCCATCCCATACAGCTGAGAGCCAAGTCCGACGGAGTGGTTATGACTGGAGTCAGTCCCTGTTTTAAAATAATGAGTCGTTGTTGTTGACCGACGGAGGCTTCTCGTTTGCGCTTTCCTTCTCTCCGGCATGGCTGGGTCCTCTGGCGCTTTGCTGCCATCTTTGCGTCCCTTTTGGGGCGCTCTCGGCGGCCAGTCGATCACTGCCGGGTTCACGCTTCAGACTGACTAAAGACACCGACACAAACGTTACCGTGGTATGCCATCACACATCTTCTCACTACTCCCAGGATAATCCCTTAACCATTTACCAGCCCGATAGCCTTATGCAGACACACTTCGTCGCCTGCTGCATCACTTTGTTGCCTTTGTAACTATCGTGGCACCACCGCTAATCTAATCATCGACTGGTAGTTATAATAACTCAAATCGTGCAGCCTTAGACACTTCCGGTCATCAGCGGCAATGTGCACGGAAAGCCGAGCGTAACAATGTACAAAAGCCGTAAAGCAAAACGCACTAAGCATGGGCAATACAGAATATTAGAAACTTAAAGCAGAAAAGCGGAATTATTCCGCGATTCTGATACATTAGTCTATTGCCAGTTGTTTTCCACATTATACAGTTTTACGTCTCGCTGGCGACAAACCGATTGCCGAAAATGTTATAATAATTGCCGGATTAGCTATAGTGTACTATCTAAACGCGCCGCACCTTGAAAGTTTGCCGACAGATAGATGGACGAATGAGTAAAAGATTAGCTGGCCTAATATTATAATCCTACTTTGCCTTTTCTCTATAATACTGTCGTGTGTTTTTAATCGCGTGAGCGGCGTACCTTGCGTGGCCTGGAGAAGCCCGCTGAGAAAGCGGTGATTAATCAGCAATGAGCATTGTCCAACTAACAACGGTTCACCTACGGATCCATATCTAGCGTCGATCCGTCCTTTTCGTTTCCCTAGCTTAGGCTGAAGGGCAGATGAATAAAGATGCGAGAAGCTGTGTGTTGCAACAGAATGAGCGAGCGACGCTTTGTGGGCAGATCCCTTTGTCCGAGTCCAAAGATCTCCACCCGTCCCATTTTCCCGTCCCTACCACAAAAGCCACCTGCGTGCCCTCTGCTAGTGGGAATAGAACTGGTAGCTTTCAAAGCTAACTACACCGTGAGCTACTCTATGTTTCGATGGAGTTCCTTCTAGACGAAAAGATGCATTGATCTGATAGTAACTGGTTGTTACGTCAGTGTCTACCTAGCATGTCTCCCGGGATCCAAAGAAACCGTATGAGTGCTATGGCGACACTTTTCGCCGTGGTGATTGGCGACATTCAGGAATTCGTTGTTAAGTTCCGAGTTTAACTGATAATGAACCCTCTAGGTTATACCTCGAGTTCTGCAAAAGCAGCTGGAAATAGTGTTAAAGAAGGCCCTCATCAGTTTCTTGTATCAACATTTACAACGGTCTTCGTGTTTGTGAGTTTATGTAGAACTCCTCGGTCGGTAAGTAACCGACTTCTCGACTTCACGTCGTTTGGCACTTGTAGGTGCTTCTCGGAGGGGCGGCCAGCAAATGTACAACTGACAAAACAGGGTCCAGCCGCTCCTACACGCTACCTATACAAAAAAAATTATATATATATATATATATATATATATATATATATATATATATATATATATATAGATAACTGTGTATAAAGTTGCAACGGCGGCGAATCGGCGTTTCGTACCCGCTTATGATAGCAGGCCGTGCAAATAGTAATTCATGTCATTCTATACATTATTTATAGGTATATAAATATGTCGCTCGCCATTGCATCATTTGTCTTCATCTAGGGTACACAGCCGTTCAAGTAACTTCATTAGCATCAGCGTCATCACCGTCGACGCCTATAAAGGAACCGTGACCACTAATACCACCAAAATATTCATCATTTTCCTATATGACATAGCATTGTGAATGGGTGTGTCTGTGTGTGGGTGCTCCTTTAGCGTTCGTGTGAGCTTTTCGCGAACGACCTCATATAAGACCTTCCTAGTAAATACGCCATATCTGTGAACGCGTCTGTAGATCTCTAATGTGAACATTTGTGTCTCTTATTTATGATGTTATTACCGTGATCATCATCCTCAGGTCATAGTAAAATGCATAATACAACAACAGTGATAATCATAATAATATTGGTAATAACCACGTCACGTAATTCGAAGGTACATTTAGGTATCACAAATATTTCCGGAAAGATCGTTCAGCTATATGTAAGATTACATGATCTTCAGCAATAATATTTTTGTCTACATCTAATCGCTAACGATGTTCCAGCAGCATCGTCATTGTTGGAGTAAACAGCATTTGCGAGCTTCGACGTCGCAGTTGTCGCTTGCTATGTTAGCACATACGGGTGGCGTCTACGTTTCCGGGTAAGAAGATAGAATAAGAATTAAATGAAGACATACTAGGACATATTGCAAGGGACAGCAGGACCACCTATACCGAATACGTGTTAGTTCTCCTGCAAAAATCTGAGATTGTAGTCTAATTCTAATTCACAAACATAGCGTCACTTGACGGTCCACTGTTCACTGTTGTTATCTGTTTTATTCAACGGAATAGGTTTATAGCTGATCAAGAGTTCAGAACCGCAAGAGATGGCGCTTAAAGATGTGTCCACGATGTAGGTACATCTTTTTTTTTGGAAATGTTTCCTTTGTCTTGACAAAACAACGCATCTGTGTTGAGATATATTCACGCTGCTCGTCCCTACGATCAGCGTTTTTCTTTGCTAAATAGAGAGAGAGACGAAAGTAAAAAATTGTGTTATTCTCTAAGTTTCAGCCCTACCATGTGTAAGGATAGAATTATCCAGCCTGCTTAGAGACCAAAATGTTCCGCTTTCATAGGAATACATTAAGCGCATGTAGCCAATCAATCAGTCTCCTGCTATCGCCTATTTGTTCCCTGCTGATAGCATAGTTCAATTTCATTTCACCACCTTTTACGTGGTCTTCATTGTTGAGATCATTTGAGAAAAGTGTCGTTAATGTTTGTGATTTTAATATTGTAGCATTTTCTTGGATACGTTTTCAACAATGGAAAGTCTATGTCCGTGTTCTACAATGCTCAATTCGATCTTCGACCAAATCTATCTGCAACAGCTATTTTCTGTGTGCCCCACTGTGTATATATCTGCACAGTGAACTGAGGCGTTCCTCTGATGCCCTTATTATGTCCACATCGCCGAATCTATATATAATCATACCTTGTTTCTCCGTCGTACGTAATTCCCCTTTGACTCGCGTTAGATTCGCCGTTATATCGTAGCGTCATTAGCGTGTTGTTTTTTCTACTGTGAAGGGGTGTGCTACCATGACAGTCTTCGTAATACCCAAATGTTTAAATAGGAGCAATTTTCTCTTGCCTATTAAAAAGTTACATCAATTGAGTTATCTCTTCCTTTTCATCTCCTGGTAAGTAACGTGCATAGCAGATGCGTTGTAGTCCGTTCTCTTCATATTTATATATATTCGCCGTATTGTATGTCAATTGTGATCTCCGTTGATAAATGTTGGTGGTTCACCACAATGACTCTCGCACCCCCGCCTCCTCTTTTTCAGCCTCTCTTGTCTATTGATCATTGATGCCAATCTGCGCAACTTTTGTCGGCGACTGTCACCCGTTTTCGGTTTGTAGGCAAACTTTTCAACTGGTTTAGTGATGACCTGTAATTTTCTGTAGTTACAGATACTTGTTAAGATACAGGCAAAAATGTATGCAGTAGAAAGAAGTCGTCTTCTTCCTGTGCATGTGTTTCTATATACACATGTGTGTGTAAGCGCGCGCCGTTAGTCGTTTTTTCTCGCATGCTCATTTTTACCACCACCATCATCATTAAACGAGTCTATGCAATTAATTATATCTCATTATAATTATTACGTTTTTTTTTTTTTTATAACGACTGGCTGTAGCGACCCAGTAATGTCTACTATCGATTTTATTTCGAGAACAAAGCAAAGTGGGGCTGATTCCTTTTCGACCAGCTCTTATCACCACTGTCCACTAGTCGTAACCTCTTGTGCTATCGCAAACATATGTATACGTCTATATTCTACCGAAACTGTTCGACCATCTTGTTGTTATCTCTCAGTTAAGCACGACAATTGTGTACCTGTGTATCAATTTGTTCGTGTGCGTTTTTGTTATTATTTCTAATCTGTGCTTTTTATGTTTTGTATACATACGTACCATACAAGGCACCTGTGTCTGTCTGTCTGTATGTATGTGTATCTGTATGTTTCTCTTTTCGTGTCACCGTGAACATTTTCAATACTCATCTATTTTTATGTATATATTTGTTTATGGTTGTAAGCTATTTTGAGACAAAAAAAGCTCATTATCGTCCTAAACTTTACCATCAGCATCGCAACCATCACTTACTAATTGTAATAATGAATATGAATTGTTCAAGTTAGCGTGCTTTTTTCAGGTAAGTTAAAACAAGCAGTTGTTGCTGTTCCCATGGGTGCTATCCTTCTAGCTACGGAAATCAGCTTTACCGTATTTTTCTTATCATTTTTTTTTTTTCATTGTTATCAATGGTTTTTGTCTGTGAAAGACAATATTTAATTGGTCAGTCTGTCAGTGTCGTTGTTTATGATATGCGAATTTACTAGAAATTAGCGCAGGGTCCAAAACCTCCTCTTTTATACTCAGCGTCAGACACATCTTCAGTCTGACCGTTGGTACTTCGTTTCCTTAATCTCAACCTATATTTTTTCACAATGATGAAAGATTCTCTCGGACAATAATATATGTTTATGAATTGAAGAAGGGAAAGACACCAGACCAGTGACATTAGTAGTGGCAGAAAAGTGGTACTATTGAGGTTTCGTTCTGTACGAGGCTTGCTATACATGCGTTCATTATATGTTTGCCTCTTTCAGCTTTCCCCCGCATACGTTTAGCATTGTCCTGATTGATTTTTTTCGTTTGATCTGTCGACAATTGTTGTCTCTGTCCCAAATCGATGGCTGTCTGTATTTCGAGTTGTTTGTTTACGCCATTAGGGCTAGAATTTGACGTCATTGGCTGGACCCGAGGCTAGAACGAGCGTACGCTTCTGGCCAGATCAAACATTGAATGTACTTATCATCTAGTCATGTATCGTATTGTTGATCATATTTGTTTTTCAATTTGGTCTGTGATGGATAGAGACTGATTCTTTCTAGTCATTCTTTGCCTTTGTGACGTGGTATAATTTGTACGCCTTTCTTTCAACATGTAGGCGTTTTCTGCCTATGGTGTGTTAGCCCTATCTCATTCATATTCATTTTGTTCGTAAGTTGAAATTGTTCTATCTGCATTTTTGTTTTCGTATCTAGATGCGTGGTTTGGCTAGAGCTCATAAATATATTGTCACTTGTTATATTTATATACTGTAAATATTTTTTTTGCCCTTCTCGTTTGTTGTTCTTGCGCGCGTTCGTTTTAGCTGTCTCCACCCTTCTAAGCATGATATTATGATAGTTATCATTGTTTTTGATTTGCTCGACTCTCTGTATATTTAGCTTACCATCTTTCTTTTGTTGTCTCTTTTTTAACAATCAAACCCTCTGTGCGTTCTCGGCGAGCTCAGCGCTGGAGCTGTTGGCCTTCTCTATCTCAATTTTTGGCGTCTCCTTGATTCTCCGCCATTCTGTCAGGAAGCTAGGCAAGATCTTTGGATGTAGCTTCAAAGTGCGACACCTTCAGCCAATATAAAATGCATTTTCTTCTGCCGCTCGTTTTGCCTGGCTCCTGTGGCCTGAGGTCCGCCGTCCTTTTTCCACGGTCAACTCAAACATGGCGTGTGTTTATGTTAGAAATGAACGTTGCGAAAAGCTTTAGCGACTCGAATTTTTATTTGTTATCATGAAGATAACATACGCGTTAAGGTACGTGGTCGAACGATTTTCTTCCCACTTGCCCCTTGCGGCGCATAGCGTTACTTCGGAACCGGGGACCTGCGACAATGGGTAGCTAAAACAGTGTTTGATTGCCATTATAAATTGGGAACGAAGTAATCGAATCGATCAGTTAATACAGAGCGAGCTCTACATGTCATTGTAGTAAACTATTATTATTAATTGCTATAACCTCTCCTAATTTTTTTTTGTTTCGCTTCAGCTCTGTGCTGATAACAAAAAAATGACATTATTGCCGCATCTGAACATGTCCTGTGTACCCACAGCCTATATCATTGCTTTATCACCGTTGTGAAGGACCCATCATATATATATGTGTACAGATCTGAAAAGGTTAAAATTAATAAATAAAATATACGACGAACGAATATTTACTTATTAGATTTTTCAGCGTTTTACTCTTTTTGTCTCTCTGCATATATATACATGCTGCATTCTTAGACGAACGAGCTTTGTTTGTGTGGCCGGAAGTCCCCGAAAGCAGTCTAAATGGCGTCGTTCAATTCGAAGTTCGGGTCCTCGAATCCCGACGGGTCCCTCGTCAACTGCGAGTTATAGTGGGTTGTATGCATGTTCGGCCAACAACATGGCGGATAGATGGATCAGCTCAGGCCAATCATACAGTCAGGCGAGTATTGAACGGTTTAGATTCGCTTAACTTTAACCAGTGACCATTCGATTAGTAGAAAGCAGGTAGCTGACGCAAACAACACTATTTGAGCCGAATAAGAAGGTAGAACTAGGCTCTTTTATCAAGTTCCAGATGGTAGGCTTTGCCGGCCTTAACGCTCATGTACCCAATGCTTTTTCAAGCGAAGATGACCATCGTGGGCCGTAATCATGCGGATATGTTTGTGTGTAAATAGTTGTTCATTTAATTGCAACATGTGGAACATCCGTCCAGCTTTACCACAGACTTTTTCTTATATGACGTCACTGGCCATTTATATATTATTCTCTATTTAATCTTTCCTTTAACCAATCTAGTGTTAAGTGAATCACTTTGTATTGATTGATGCGTGAGAAAATGTGTGTATCGTAGTACTCTAAGTATAATATGCTTATTGTACAGTCATATATATATATATATATATATATAGTCATTTCCAATAATCTTGTTTACGTTTCATATGATTAATCAATATTATCTTTCATATTATTTGCTCGCACTTTCTCGTAACTTTAGCTGAAGTAACCCCGGTTCCTCTGCTTGGTCGTGTGCCATTTACAGGACAATATTCGTATGTAAGTTCGACGAAAGTTTGCATTGCACAACGCGTAACAGAGCGGATTGACCGTACTGTTGATATAGCAGAGGCAGTACGCAAAATTCCATAGGCCTGGCGGTATACAATCAACGTCGTCCTCGCACCGGCTGAGCGTCTTGATCAGAACGAGAACATTGTACGGCGTCCAAGTGACGATGAATGCGAATAAAATGGCTGATAGCGTCTTTGCCGCTTTTCGTTCTTGTTTTCGTTCTTGGTGTTTGCGTTTCTTCTTGGGCGCTTTCTTCGTCGTGCTCGTTGCGACGAGTCGACTGTTGAGTGTCAAACGGTCGCGGGCCGATACCGTCGTGGTACCAGTGGTTGTGGCCATCATTGCCTTTGCTTGAGGATGCTGACCCATGCTTGCGTGACTGTGTCCTCTCACGCTATGCGTGTTTGCCATCGTAACAGCTACTGCTGGCCGCGCGACCGTTGGTGAGTGCTCCTCTTCGAGAATCATTCGTATTGATGGCTGTGCAGCCTCCCCGTCGATCTCGACGCTGCTCTGCGTCGGCAAGCGAATCAGTATTGTGTAGACGGAGTCGCTGGAGAAAGAACGCGCGGATGGCGAGGCTCCCCCACCGCCTCCACCTCCGCCGCTCGTATGCGACGAACTGTGCAACGGGACACCTTTGTGACCACAGCTATTAGCAGCATTCATCACCAACGCACTGCCCTGCGTAGCTGAGTCGTGTGGGCTAACGCTAGAGCCTTTAGATGAGGGCAAAATGGTAGCTGCTCGCTCCGTAGCCTGTTTACGAATGCTTTGTGAGAGAGGAGTCCTAAAGTGAACGTCGCGCACCGGGGTTTCAGCCGAAGCAGGCGTCGCCGCGCTCGGTGAACCCCGGCTCGATACCGAGTCGTCGTCGCGATCGACTCGCGACTGCAGCGCTCCTGCAGAGTCGGTCTTGCACCAAGAGAGCAACAGTTTCTTCAGCCGCTGTCGGGACCGCATTTCGTGGGCAGATCCCTTTGGTGGCATCTCTGTACGGCAGAGTGAACCGGAACCATTCGGGTCCGCTGATGATGTCGGTAAATATCTACACGTCTCCACGTAGAGACCGCTATTCTTTCGGAAGTCGATTTCATCGTCCTGACTGCTCGTCGAGCGCTTGCTGCCTGTACTCGGTGGTGGCGGCTTCTTGCCTGCCTGCAAATGAGTCAAATCGCGTTGTCGTTTTTCGGTCTCACGCCATATACGCCAATAGAGAATGCACATAATGCAGACAGGCACATAGAACGCAGCGATGGCGGTACCAAATGTGACGTATATGTTTGTTTCAAGAAACTGGATATAGCATTGACCCTCGGGCACGGAACGCTTTCCTTCAATGTACGGCCAGGCATAAATCCACGGTGGCCATAGTAGCAATGAGATGAGCCAGGCTGACGCGATCATAATTGCGGCCCGTCTCGTTGTCCGACGAGCTCGATAGGTTAGCGGTCTTGTAACCGAAAAATAGCGATCAAATGAAATAATTAGTAGATTTAGCACGGAAGCATTGCTTGCTAGATAGTCCCAAGCTAGCCAAGTATCACAAACGAATGCACCTAAGTGCCAATAATTGTACAGCGAGTAGTAGGTAAACAATGGCATAGAAATTATGCCTATAGAGAAGTCCGCAATAGCTAAACTCAGTAGAAAGTAGTTTGATATCGTTTGGAGCTGTTTGTCCATCTTGAAGCTAATCATGACCATCAGATTGCCAACAATCGTTACAATAGAGAAGAACGCGCCAAATATAGCAATGAGGATGAATTCAAGGTGTGAATAACCGACCGCTGAGTCGAAAGTGGTCTCATTGCCAATGCTGCCATACCCGCCGGTAAGATCGTAGCTGGCTGAGCCATTGGGCTGGTCAGGCCCGCCTAGACTGAGAGAATCGCTTGTCTCAAACGACGCCTCGTCCCGGCCACTGCCCAAATTCGACGACGAAATCGTGTTACGGTAGGCATCTTGCCAGACTCGCGGCACGTTCCATAACACATTTGATAATGACAGGTCGATGCCCCCGGATGAGGGCGTCGCAAACGAACGACTCATCTGAGCCGCCATGGATAAGCTAGGCAGCCGTATGGCACCGCCGCACAACGAGAAGTTGTTGAATACGTCGTCTTCGTTGCTGTTATGGGTGATGCTGGTGACAGGTTGAGGATCGTTGCTGCTCCTACTGCTGTCGATTTTGCCGATCGAACTTTGCTACGATCAGCAGGAACAGTTGAGTTCGTTGCTGTCGTCTGAACGGCAGTAGACGCTTGATGATGATGGTGGTGGCGCAAGGTCCGACAGCTCCTTCTGCTCGTTCTCGCTAACAGCTGCCTGGTCTTCCCGCGAGGTCTAAGCGAAAACGCGCCCAACACGGGCGTCTGCGATCTGCGCCTTAGCAGATCCGTCCTAGCTGTTCCAGTCTCACGATCCATGGCGAGCACTTACCTGTAGAGTTTGATAGAGGTAAAGGGAAAAACAAAAAGGTAAAGATAGACTGGCTTTACTTGTCAGTCTTTCCGCTTGTACTATCTTAATGCTGGCAGCGACATCACTGACGGTAGGTATACATTCTCACGTAGCCCATACATTGATAGGAGAGGTTCGGATTGGGAGAGGAAGTGGTGAGCGTGAAGCACGGAGAATACGCTTCGGAATGAGAGCGTTCGTAAGCAGGGCCGTCAAGGTCAATTAAGCCGTCCATGAAATGTCGCCCTTCGTTCTTAACTTTAACAGTGGAAGAGTCAACTGCAGGCAATGCATGCAGCATGCGAAAAAAAATGTTGGTAGCCAGGACAGGCCGAACTCTGCTCGCCTAGCTAGGAACCTATCTATGATCTGGTCGTCTTTGGCTGCGGATTTTAAAAGTCGAGAGTAACCTTTTTGTACATTCAACTCATCGCCTTTCTCCCAACGCCGAAAGAAAAAAAATCATTTAACATGACCATTGCTGCTGCTCCGCTAGAAGGACAAGCACAGCTAAATAGTGTGGTCCACAATGAGGGTTCCGGTGGGTTTTTCCAGTTTCAGCTCAACCCAAATATTTTTCTCGAAGGCTCAAGTCATAACTAACTGCTAGACGACTGGTGACAAATATCTAGAGAGCATTTGGCCGTCTGTGATAACTGTCTTACTTTCCGATATCTGCTTAATCTTTTCTGAAACTCTGTAATTTTCTTTGAAACTTATTTCACCTTTCGTCGACGTCGGGCGTATTTTCGATCGTTCCTAGACCGATCGGTATGAGTCTTTCCATTGAACGTAATTCCACATCTCCCTATCTACTGCAGTAAGTCAACATGACCCAAATGATTATTGAATGGATAATTTTATATTTCAGTGTTGCACATCCTATGGGCCACATGTCACAGCAATTTGTAAGATTTTTTCTCAGTGTCTATGCTATTTATTGCATGCTACTGAATCGAATGGGCGACCTATCATTAAGCCGAGCATAAACCCAGCTGGCGTAGAAAAAAGGCACGGTGAGTAGAACCTGAAAGCTATAATTAGGGTCGATGGTAACAAATTATTTTCTTTATGTCACACGATGTTCACGAGCTCCGAAAGAATTGTCTTTATCTAATTTTTATTTTTTTTTAAACCGATATCTGTTATGAGCTATACCAACATAACACACGCCATTCGGAACGCTTCTCTTGATTAACGCTTCTAGAAACTATGAAGGATCCTACCCACTGTGGGACGACTAGGTATGAAGGCTGCGTTCGAAGCCACGGCACGGTATTGAAATAGTAGTTTTGCTGATTACCAGGCCTTGCTGCATCCGGAGTCATGCAAGAAACCCTGAGAAGTTTGGCCAACAGGCGTAGAACCAGGAGATTGGCCCAAATAAAGGCCGATCCGTCTTGTTTTGCATATGGAGCTTGGTGCGTTTTGTCGAATTCCTGATGCCGTCCAACGGCTCGCTGGCAGTCAGTCGTCTTCCCTTTGCTTCGCTCACACTGGGGTAAACAGAAGACGGTAGACGAAAAAAAAGTTGTTAACACACACGCGGACACATACACACACAGGATCAAGAGACAACAACATGGAAAGTATTGATTTCATAGTAGACTAAACGAGAAGTAGATAACTTGAAGCCGGAAGATCCAATGAAAAGGAATATACGTAAATGTAGTAGATAATATAGATGCGCTCGCAAGGAATCTTTACAATGGAGTACACGTGGCGGCCGCGTACGGATTGAGATGATGTTATTGGAAGGCGAACAAACCGAAGAAACGAGGCCGGAAGGTTATAGCGATGCATTATTATGTCGTCGTTTTCACATTTGCGTCGGCGTCCGCTTTCCGTGCAATGATTCCTTTTTATCCTATGGATGACAGGGTGATGCGGTAATTAACAGAGACGGACACGAATCTCTTTGTTCATACGAATGCTCAAATAACAACTGTGGCAGACAGAAAATTCATCGTAGTCATGCCCAGCTGGTAAACCCACAAAGCTATCTGTCGGTTCAGGAAATAACTTTTATTAGAGGCGTCGGCTAGCGTGAAAGGGTTCCAGTCGAACCAGCCAGGATTATTCCATCTTGATGATACCGCACCTACAATGAGACTAGAAGTCAAAGCTAAAGAATTTAAGGCCAGGCCAACAACAAAGATATTTATAACAAGACATGATGGCCTACTCATGATGCATCTTCAAGGAACGTGCAGATCAATCTAGGTTCGTGCACATGATGGTACGAGTAATGCCAGTAGAGGCACAAACGTTACGAAAACTGCTACATCGGCGTACGCAGCCAGCTAGCCCGGCGGTTATGAAAACTGGGATCTGACTAGTGTTCACGCGCGATCTATGTCGAGTTGGACGAGATGGGTATTACATTATTCGGCAGGCATAGAAAGCATTACTGGCAACGAGGCAGGGCATAGGAAGCAAGCTCTGATCGTACAGAATGTCGGAGCAAACCTGTATAATAAGCCCCAGCATTATCATTGCCGCTACCCCTTGATCATAGGAGATAGGCGTAGCAAAGGTTTCCTCTTCGATGCCATGCCAAAAGACGGATGAAGCTATGGCTTAAAGTGAATGATAACTACGCTTACTAAGCTTTCTATAGTACGATGTGTATCGTAAGTCATCTTCGTACGTCAGTAAATAATAGCCACCGTAGAAAGCACACAGCAAAAGCTCACTGGTAACCATAAAGCAATGGCGGTAGCATGTATATGATACAAGTAGTAGATACTTCTACCACATCGTCTTATTCAACTTCTGCAACGTCTTCACCATTGAACTACGTGATAGCTATTGCTTTCTCACAAGCAGACTATTCCGGCAGCAAAGAGAAAAACTTGAAGAAACCATATTGGCTGTTGATGAAGGAAACAAACAGCGACCGGTGATCTTTTTGTGAACTAAGAACTATTTAGGGTAGTTGTGCCACCCCGAAATGAGTCAATGATTTGAATGTGTTTGGTAAAACCGAGCATGTAAAAAATTGCTTCGGCGCTCGTTTTTCGCAAATATAAAGTCGAAGGATGAATAGACATTCTGGGTGACAGACACACAAGCAGTTTTATTACTACAACGACTGCTGCTACTTTTGCTGGTGTCCTAAAGCAGTATTAGAAGGCTTTCTCTCATTCTTATCGACCAAGGTAGTTCGCGAATGGTAGGCAGGAGAGAAACAGAGCAAGAGAACTAAGCGGACTTCGGTCCGATCTGCCGGCAGACTACGTTAGCGATACTGTCCTGCAGGTGGACAGAGGGCGCAGTGACATGGCCGAGTTGCGTCCCGTTGCTGCGGCGACCAACCAGCAGCGAGCTAAACTTAAAAAGAAGAAGAGAAGGAGACCCGGAAATGGTTCGTATGTGGCTGTGTAATAAAAGTATGGACTCTACACGATTCTGGCTGCGTGTAGCAGCGCTAGCAGTGGTGATAGCAGCTAAACGAAATTTTCTCTATCCGGGCTTTACCTTGAAAGTTTCGCCTTCTCACCGTACAGCAGTTCGAAGATGGTTTCTGAATGTACTGCCTCCTCCAATCGGATTTCTGTTTGGTCGCTTCGCGGCCCTGAGGCTAGGAGCCGCACAACTAATTCAGGTTTGAGACACAAATGCATACTCAAGGATAGACGCAGACTTGTCAGAAGAAGGGTACAGGTTTTTAATGAATCGCAAGCCATTTTGTTCAATTTCACTTTTCATTTCATCACAATTGCTGCCACCAACAACACTAATAGTAACTCATTATTACCAAATTACTTTTTTCAGCTTTCTCTGCTTGACCAGTGGTTCAGATGTGTCGGAGTTAATAGTTATACTGCATAAAATGGTTGGGTGCTATACAGCAATAGCAACCCTGAAAGCAAGGGAAAAAGGAACTCAGGAATTCTGCTCATTCAATAATATCTCTGCAGTCGAAACACAAAAGCCAACCACACAATTAAAGCTAACAAGCCAACATAAGTAATTGTTCATAAGATGCTAGATATCGTAGTCATGCATGAAAATCTTAACTCTATTATGTCTGTCTACACGAGACGCCTAGCGAAAGTTGTCTGGTGAGCCTTGAGAGTAGGCGACAGTTTTATAGAACGTGCTTTGCCTTGACTTTCAGGACAGAACAACCATCCAGCGCAAAAAGATTGCAGTGCCGTCCACTAGATGACAAATACGTTTTCCTAGACTTGGCTGCACGGACCCGATCCAACGTTCCTCTTTATTCTTCCGGCCCCCTTTCCGTCCTGCAAGCGAAAACTCAACGTGTGCTTGGTTGTCCCCAGGATCCGAATCCAACTTGCAGGTCATAGTTACGCGCAAATTGAACTTCCATACTGCTTGTATGCCGCTGTTAGTTGAAGATTCTACTGCGATCCTCTGTAGAATGGCTGATGGGCGGAATAAGGGCAAGAGCGAAAAAGAAAAGACCTTTTTAGAAAGGAATAGGGTAATGTCAGCGCTGGGGAACTAACCACGGGAAAAACGGGACAGCGGTCGATGTGGCCTGGACGCGTATCTTAATCCTGCAAACTTACGATTGTCGTATGGGTTATCGCGACTAGAACGATAGCCAGCCGGTCACCCGAGCACCACGTGTTGTTCATAGGAATGCGTTCGCCGTCTATACGCGTAATAGCCGCTACGTAGACCCGGCAAGCTAGCAACTTCCGTTTGCCCTGCTCTGCGCTGTCGGAGGAACAGAAATCAGTTGCAGGAAACGGAATGAAGGCTAGAAGCGATGGGAAGGTCTCGTGGTATCGCCCGTCGCTCCGCGCTGGCCTATCTCCCAGTGCCGTAAGACGAGTCAGACCAGAGGTCAGTAGTAGTAGTAGCTGGCGTAAAGGCTTTACTGTGCAGTGCAGCGCCCGTGTGCTACCGTCGCCTGCTTGTTTCTTTGGATTTTCGTACTATCTGTTTTCTCACTCCTTCAAAGTCTCGTTCTCCGGTTGCGCAGCTGCATCCTGATCTATTTT